AAAACCGATAACAAAGCTTTTTTGCGTAGTATTGTGTGGCAGTATAACAAAATAACTTGTCCCATATTCGGCCACAAATTTCCAGTTAAAATATTTTTAATTTTAGCAGAAATGCCCGGTCAGAGTGTCCGACCAGGCTAAGCTTCTACCTGTCAAAACCTCAAATTTACCAGACAATTGTCCGGTGACCGACTGTTATTTGCAGGCTTGGGTTTATTTTACAGTAAATGTGGGAATAAAACTTTGGGACTTGAGCTGGTGCCTGCTTAATGGAGGGTGTCTGCTTAATGTGGGGTCTGCTTAATACAGGTTTTACTGTACGTTTAGAGGGGAGCACAGCAATAGCAGAGGCATTTTGAAGTTCAGTGCTGAGAGATAATTTGGGATCTTGAAATGACATGAGAATTTACTTACATTTGTTCCACAGTAGGGCAAACTGAAGGAATTCTTAGTTCTAGTGTTCTGTATATCCAGTATGTACGTCACAGTCAAGTAAAATCATGTCATTGGAACTTTCAGGAAGAAGGAGAGTTTTGTAAAGGTGGGGATGTGGTGACCTCATGGTTAGTGTTCTCGACACCAGATCAAGTGATCCGGGTTTGAGCCCTGGCCTGGGTCATTGTGTTGTGTTCTTGGGCAAGACACTTTACTCTTGCAGTGCCTCTCTCCACCCAGGTGTAAAATAGTTACCAGCAAATTTAATGATCACAGTAACCCTGCGATGGACTAGCATCTCATCCAGGGGGGAGTAGAAATATTCCTAGTTGCCTCATGCAACAGAAACTGGGATAAGCTCTGGCCTGATGGGCCACTTGACTCGTATGCAGACTTAACCTTTACCTTACAAAACTTTACCTATTTGAAGTTTGACAATGTCTTCAAATTTTAGAATCAATACGGTCCATCTGACAATCACTCTGGGAATGTATTCATCTGTTTTCTTCAGGATGACAAGAGTTGGTTGCACTGTACATTGTGTCGCTCAGGGAGACAGGGTGTGTCCACTCTCAATAAAGCTTTACTAAGGAAGGTTGAGTGGCCAAGTCAAACGAACACTTCGTTTCAATCCTCACAGGTGAGTAGGAATAACAACCTACACTATAAAATGATATGGATTTTCATCTACCAGTACGAAATTCAATGGCATGAATGTCCCCAAGGAATTTATTGCACACTACTCGACTGTATTGGGCCCAGGCATGATGTCTGCCAACTTAATCAAGAAAAGCAAATTAAGACTTGCCCAGGGCTAGCAAAATTTGAGAGCTGCTTGTCCAAAGGAAAAGCTGAAATGGCAACCATTTGGAATTCCATTGTTTCAAATAGCTACATATTATGGGATGCCTATGGGCAAAATGGAAATGCATACTAATTTGCATCTTGTAATATCAGCTATTTGAAACAATGGAGGTCAAGGTTTATTCAAAAGGTTTATTCAAGGTTTATTTAAGCCCAGTTATTGGTAGTTCTTATAGTCTGACTGTCCGAGTGACATTAGTTCTGAAAAAGAATTGTTGTTGGTGACTGACGTTTCAACAACCTGATCAGAAGTCGTGGTCAGTGTTAAGTGACTCACCCTTTGGTTGCTGAAACATCAGTCACCAGCAACAGTTCTTTTCGGAACTATTTTCATTCAGCTGATCACACTCAAACTGATACTCATGCAGGTTCAAACCATTTACTATGTAATATTTTTGCTACAGGAACCCATGGTACACACCACAATAGAAGATGCATTCGACACAGTATTGCAGTACATGAATGTTACCAGTAGACAGTGTAAGGTAAGGTGCCCCACCTAACCCACCAAACAAAAACCCTACTCATTATATTGTTACATCATAAGTACTAGCAATGCCACAAAGTAGAAATTACGTTGAGGTAACTGTCCAGAGTGTTTCCCTTCATTTCTGCTATAACATTCACAATCTATTTTATTTTTAGTTTTAGTTTTTGCATCTTCAAAAGCGACGGGGGGGGGGGGTGGCCACCCAATCCAGCCCCCCTAAATCCTCCCCTGAAAAGTCTGGATGAGACCCATATAGTTGGTATATAAGTTCCTAGATGATACATGTATAGCCCAACGTTTCCCCTGCCTCCCCCCCCCTCAAAAAAATCCTTTATTAAGAAGTATTGACAAAAATTAATGACCTAAAGAACACTGAAATATTTTTTGTACATTCCACCACTGTTCGCTTATAGTGTCCTTCGCAGCCCTGGTTTGGGGAAGGAGCGTTGTTTGACGACTTCAAACGATGGCTGCGAAGAAACTACGTTGGTGTCAACCTCAAGATATATAAGTTGGTAGCCGTATGTATGTAAAGTAGTTTTCAACGTCTAACTGTGTGCTTTTTCGTCCTTTTGTAGCGCTTTTTCCGCTGCAGATCAACCGATGAGTGCAACGCCCAGGATGTGAATCATTGTAACAGATTCCATCAGCCAGATTATAACATGGTAACCCGCCGACACCCAGTAAGTTGCTGGCAACAGAATATAATTGGTATTTTGTAGGATAAATCTAAGATTTAGCAGGATTCAAACTCGTGATGATGCGCATGCCTAAAAGTACATATGCATTGTGATTGGTTCTCCAATCTAAGTAATCTAAGTAATCGTAGTTAGGTGTCCCCAATTAGTATAGATTGTATGCTAGCGACTTCGACACGTTAATAAAGTTCTTATCTTATCTTATCTTGTCCGCGCGCCTATTTGTCACGTTATTGGCACGCGATCACCTTGGGTGTCCAATTACAGGTATCCAATCCACCGTAGGAAAAAAGATATCAGCTGTACATTTTACCACAACACCTTGCAAACCTAACACAGCCTATATGGCACAATGAAAGCCAAATTTTTACAATATTTGTCCCTGTACTAAGGACATTGAGTAGCCTTAAGGTTTGGAAATTTTATAACTTTTCTGTACGTTTTTATGAACGTTGTTACGGTTTTCTTGCGCTAAGAACTATGGGTAAATGTACCAGTCGCCATCTTTTTTCCTACGGAGGATTTGAACTTTTTGTAATTGGACACCCACGTGATTGGCTCGTCAACTGCGCGCGCTTTAATGGCTTCCTTCGCAGTGTTTCCTACAGTTTTCAAAACTTATGAAAAGCGCTACAAACGTGTTCGCTCAAGGGAATTTCTCAAAAGACATTTTTAATTCCGAAATTTGTTATAGGTACGATTAATTAGTAATTGGACCTCTTGTCGTACAATTCAGGGAGAAATCGTGCTCGTGATTTTGAAATTACTCGCGCGATTTCTCCTTAAATTGTACTCCACCCGGTCCAATTAGTATTATTAATCAGTGCTTTTTGTTAGTTCAGGTTCAGGTTTCCAACTTTAACTGTAACACTTGGCACACCCCGTACTTAACACCTCATTACACCGGTCATCAAACATTTGAAAGCTTTACAATTTTCCTGACCATTTTACCGATGCTATGGCTATTCGGCCAGCGCTAAAAGAACCCTAAAAGTCGGGCAAATTTAAAATGATCTTACCCTCGCCATCAACGGTCGTATTTTTTTTCCCTTTGCCATGTTCATCCGGAAACCGCTCACAATCTCTTGACTTACTCTGACGAAGAGCTTACTTTCGAAACGTCGGCGTTTGGAATTCGTTGCAGCAATTTTATTTATACTTTTAAAACTTCAAGCAGCAAAATGGTTTCTAAATTCAAATGCAGTTTTCCTTGGCACCTTTAAATGTTTTCTTTGAGAGTTTTGAAACTTGTGTACTTGTATATGATTTTCCTGTTAACTGAAATGGACCGCTACATTGACTCTACATTGTACATCTGATTGAACTTCGTAATTCTCTCCACTAGCTTCAGAGGCTGGAAGACGTGCAGGTGGAAGTAGCGCCTGGCAGTTATGCAGTTTCCGCTGGTCGTTACGGCGCACCCAGACAGCACACCCACATTGTCCGTTTGGAGCCTGGACAGACAGTAGATCTAGGGTTTTCGTTATAGTCATGTCATGCTGCAGTTTTTCTTCATGATATTAATACTTACGACGATTCACAATTCACTCTCTTCCCCTTACTAGTTTTTCAAAGCCGGAGATCTTTCTCAGTAAAGTTCAGTTTTTCAAGGTGAAAAGGTAGAAAGTTATGGAGACAGATTTAAGGATTCTGGTAGCATTGTCGTTCAGCATTAGTTATGTGGAAATGACCAGGTTGACAAGGTATAGAGATTGTAAGGAGAAATTAGAGGTTAATTAGGCCGGAAGGGTTCTAAGGATTGTAGTATTTGTAAATTATCATTAGGGCATCATACATTTATATAATATAGTTTTGTAATTGTAGAAAAACTTTGTAGTTCAAATTCGTACAAGTAGGCTTGTGTATTCTGCTAGTATCAGGGAGAAGGCGATGATTTGACTTTCTTTATCTGATGTTCAGTTGCGCGTTGGTCCTCAGCAACTGACACTTCACTCGTTATTGTAAAACGCTTTGTATTGCCTTTTGGATAACTTTCGAACATGCTCTTATATAACTTTAATTCATCAGAATGGAGTCTTGAATTAAATCGCCTCTGCTCTAACTCTACGATCACCACGAATAAATGTTCTGTGTTTAGGTTTATCCCAGTTTTGTAGCGAGAATATTGGCGTGATTAACTAAACCCGTGAAATAGATAACAAGCGATTGAAAATGCAAGGAACTCCATTTCTTTTGTGTTCGTTTTTGGTGTCAATTTTCTTTCACGGATTTTGAAATCACTCTTTAGTTTTATTTCAGATTCTATTACTCTTAGTTTCAAGTTTAGTTTAGACTAGATAAGTTGTATAGTGCATGTATTTGTTTTAATTTAGTCAAATAAAAACCGTTAGCCACTCTAAATCTCCATTTCGAACCAGTCTGAAAATTCCTTGAGCCAAGACAACTGAAAATGGTTGTGGGGGTATAGCAACGTAGTCGTCGAAATGTTCATGAGCCCCCGGGAGAATGGATAACCACTCTCTGTGTCACGACGTTAAATAAATTATTACTTATTACTTAGTTAAACCTGAAACTTGTGACTCACAAGCGTGTTGTCGCTACAGTGGCAACCGAAAAAACACACCTTGTAAAGTGCTGGGAGAGGGGAGTGCTGTCGGAATGCGCAGGCTAGCATGTTATCCAGCTCGTTACTTGACCTACTAAATTGCCGCGCATTCACGTAAAGGACCAACACTAACAGAAAACGTTAATGGGGAAATCGACTGGAAAACGACAAATTAGGAACCAAATTGGCAAAGTTTAGTTTTACTTTTAGCCTGTGTGTCACAGCCGTCTCTTCCCGGGGAGAGGCGGCTGTGACAAACTAACTGTCCCAGGGTTTCTCGGGATTGGGACGAGCTCGAGGATACACTCAAACAAACCATCATTTCATCATATGTCCTTTACCATCTGTGGGTGAGCATAAAACGTCCACCAGTACCCTCAATGCACACGGGTCTTTGTTTAATAATGCGTTGGCTCTCTCTCAGGAGTAGCCCACTCTTTCCAAACCATATGCAGAAATAAGTCACGTAATTGAATTTGCATCGTAATTATTTCTCTTGACAACAACATGTTTATGTTTGTCACGCACGTAAGAACTGCGGCAGATCTCGTTGCCGTGATTTGCACTTGTTATTAGCTATTTCTCAGTATAGAGTAGTGCTTTACAGTAGAGTCGAAGAACAAATGACTGCTTCACCGTGAATGCCACTGACAGAGGCACAGGTATGTAGACTTTCTAACAAGTGATTGAATTGCACGACACCGATTTGGTTCGCTTTGCACACGAATGAAATTGTGAAGTTCGAATAGCGAGCTAGTAGCTGAGAGTTTTAAAACTAATTATTTTTCAATGTTGAGACAAAACTACGCGACTGCTCAGTGCCGAAGGCTCCCACGTTAATACCAAATACAAAATTACCGTAACATTCTGTGCTCCTGACTTCATTATGAACTGAGACACGACTAGCAACTTGAATTGCAGCAGATCTATTGTTCTTTTGAACTGACAACTATGGTTTCAACGCGACAGAAATTGCAATATTCGTGATTTATTGACACAGAAGCGAACATTTTATTCTAAGGCACTTACGTATCCAAGAAACTATTTCGTAGAAGCTTTGATTTGTAACTTTAATTACTTTGCATGGTTTGTTCTATATTCATATCATCATAAGGCTACCAATAATGTCAATTGTTCTGAGGCTAAAGTTCATTAATTGTTTTTTCTGTACCAAATAATTGTTTTCGCCGACAGTGTTTTATGACAGCCCGGTGAAACAAATTTCCATAATGAACATTGGCCATTTGGGTTTTAATGAAGAATTTCAACTTGGAAACCATATCGAGTCGAAATCGCACCGAAAAGCATTCAACCATTGATTTTACCCGCAACTAAATAACTCACGCTGTTATAAATTTCCCATTCATTTTAGAATGGCCAAGAGTCGATCGATGCCGTCCCTGAGAAACAAAGTGGGTTCTGAAGAAAATTTCAACTCCAGCGTGCACTCCAAGCTTCAGGTGCAAAATGGTCACCACGTCACGTTACAGACGAATGCTTTTCAAAACAAACGTAAACTGGAGTTATTTATTGAGTGCACGGATCTTGTACAACTAGACACGTTTTCAAGAACCGACCCCATGTGTGTACTGTATGTGAAGAAACTCGGACAATGGATGGAACATGGAAGAACGGAGTCCATTCCAAACAGTTTGCATCCAAAGGTATTTTTGTGGGAAATTTTGTAGGTAGATTAGTTCTTTTTAACGTGTCCGCTCTTACTAGACCACTCGGCTAAACCTCTAAAACGGTACCACGACGTGTATTAAAGTAGTTTATTAACTTTTGCTCTGAATAGTATCTAAATGGAAATATCTAAAAGCGCCATCATTCTGGAGGAATTCCCACGTTAAAACTAAAATTACGAGTTGTAGTAAGTAAATATTTCCATATTATTCTATTTTACATTATACGGACGGACACTCTACTATAACGGTGTACAACGCGCTTGAACGATTCGTTTCTCAAAGGATAAAACAGTTTGTCCGTATGCAGTTGCCATATGCCTGCTGTCGCTATTTGAATACCTGTCATGTTTGGGAATATAATTTTTTATTTTTTTTAGAGCAATTTTTTTTTTGATAAAAGGGGCGTTTAAAAAAGATGCTGACGCCAAGTCAGGTGTTCGGTGGAGAATAAAAAAGGTCGTGAAAAGAATGTCTAAAACAGAAAACCCTAAAACCCTCTCATTGCACGACAGTGCCAAACATTACATTAAGAAACAACAAATGATTTGAGATAAAATAAGTAAACTTTATGAAATGACCCTAAAATGGCTGTCAGTTTGTGCTCATTTTCCGCAAAACATGATATCGATAAGAGAGCAACTAAATCGAGTACGTGCGTTAATTTAGTCCAATTATTTTGGTTTGTCTTAGTTCGCGTATGAAATTTAAGATCTCCGATTTGAATACAAATGGAGCTTTCTTAAATGCCCGGAGAATATTTTGTGCAATTTTAAAATGTAAATATGAATCTAATCCCTCCAGTAGACCTTTTTGATTAAAAATTTCACCGCTATTGATTATGATTGAGAGCGAGAGGTGATAGTTTTTTTCAGTTGTACAGTTTTCCCTGTTATATTTCAAGATACTAGTTAGTACCTGAACAAGTTTGTGCTCAGAACTGATAAGTCAGTCAAAGTAAAGCGATCGTAATTAACACTGAAAAGAAAAAAAAAGAACCCCGTGCATTGACTGTGCATTAATTATTTACATGACTTATATGTTGGAAGCAGAAGCTTATCACATTTTCTAGGTGATATGCTTCTGGTTGGAATTCAGTGTCTTTTCTCCAAGTTCTGTTTAAACAGGCAAAGATTATCAACATTTAAATTTATTCGATTCTGACACTCAGCTGATTTGGTTTCAAGCTTAGCTTGTCTCTATATGTGAAATTTCAACGGTAATGGAATTATTTTTCTTCAGTGCTTCGAGGCATACATATATATTTAAATTACGAAAGCTGATTAGAAACGATTGCGGTTTTCCTGCCGCCTTGTGCCCAGGCCTCACGTTTTCAATAAGTGTACGACGCAGTTCACTGACGTGAACATGTCATTTTGGAATATGCCAATCACAAGCGCGGATCCTTACCAGTCTCCAACATTTTATGAAAATCAGTCAGACTTTTCAGAATTACTCAGAAACCCAGGAAAGGGGAGTTTAGGGAGTTAAAATCCAAACTGTATTTCCTAGGGGAGCATGGTCCCGTACCCCTCTAGAAGCTTGTACTCTCGGCGCTCGTTGTTTCGGAAATCGATCGCCATTTATCCTGAAACCCTCTCTTAGTGAAAAATTTTTATTTCTCTTCTTTTATTCTGTTCAGTTTGTAGAAACGTTCATCATTGAAGCTAACGCTACAGTCCATCCAAGGCTGAGATTTTCAGTGTTTGATCTGGCGAACTTTACATCCAAAGACCTCCGTAAACACGATTTTATTGGATCGCTGGAAATAGAACTGGGAACTCTTTTAGAATCGGAGTGCGGCTCCTTAATAAGAACACTCAGACTCCCTGGGGATGTCAAGTCACGTGGTTACATTCATATTTACGTCGACGATGTAAGGGAGAGTAGAACAAACATAAGACTTCATTTTGGTGCCGCGAATCTGGCGAAGAAAGGGATCCTAGGGAAATGCGATGCGTTTTATGAGGTTAATCGCCTCGTAACGAAGAGTGGTCATTTTCACCCGGTGTATAGATCTGAAGTAGTTACCAGGACAGCGTCACCCAAGTGAGTTAATTGCAGCCTCGTCTCTAGGCGTTCTCGGCTCAAATGGGTCTCGGGTTTATCCTGAGCGGTGCCAACACCGAAGAGCACTTCTCTTGCTCATTGCTTCCCAGACTTTGCGCGTACAGGGAGGCAAGAGAGAACGCCTGGCGACTAGGCTGAGTTATTATAATTTAATCTCTCGTCAGAAGCCGTTGTACTTAGTTCCTCAATAAACTGTTGACGGGTCGGTAAAAGTATTTGATTCATTGCCTTCTATTTATATGAACAAATCACACACGATCCCAATAAATGTTATCGATGAGACTGGTCTGACATGGTGACGTAAGAAAGCGTTTGCAGCCGAAAGGAAAGTTTGCGGATCGGCTTTGTCAAATCGTTATATTAAAAACAAGATGTGCAAGGTGCGAAACATTGTCGCAAGGTTGCAACAAACAGAGTTTGTTCCACTTTGTTCAAAAATTGCACGAACAGAAACTTTGTAAGACAAAGTTCATAGAAAGTACGTTACACTGGGAAATGTTTAAGCTCCTCTTGTGCGATGCAAAATTTTCCAGCGAAGGCTTTGCAGACAACCGTTAAGTGCGCGGCAAAGTTTCTTCTTTTTAGTTTTTGCAATGTCAATGATATCGACTTAAAAGTTCATCATGAAATGTATTTTGTGTTCAGATAGCTTTGCACTTTCTAGACTGATTGCAATTATTCTTATCTCAATCTGTCTCGTTTTTGTGTCTCTCTGACGGGATGGGGTGTGATGGTTAATTATTTACGTATCTGAGCGCGGATTTTCACTTGTTGCATCAGGTGGGCACCGTTTGATATCAGTCTACAGAAGTTGTGTAACGACAATGTTGATGGACAGCTCACGATATCTTGCTGGCATTTCTCTAGCAGTGGTAATCACACCATGGTAGGCGAGGCCAGGTTACCTTTGAATCTACTTCTCAAGAGGTAAGATCAATCTAATGTTTGTCTGAACTGATCTAATTTGAAATGAAAATGTGCTCTCCATGCCGACGAGTAAATCAGTCAGCTGGAATTGACAATTGACATTTCTGTAATATAAATCTCTCCACAGAACAGTTAGAGAACTGGATATAGTGAATCCCAGAAAGCAGATAAAAAATAAACGGTATTCAAACTCGGGAACGCTGCGCATTTTACATTGTCACGCCGATAGACAATTCAGTCTTGTTGATTACGTCAGAGGTAATTGCATCATCAGAATGGTATGCGCCGTTGATTTTACGATATCCAACGGACAGCCCTTGACCCAGGACTCCCTGCACACAATGGACGAGGAAAAGGTAAGTATCAGGGTCGTAAACTACACCACCAAAGGAAACTACTGTAACGAAGCTCTCTGATTTTCGTGGTGGTCTGCCATAACGAATAACCAACTTCTGTAGTAAATATATAGCTGATTGTATACCATGAACACGCGAAATATTGTTGTTTCTCACTCAATGGAGTACTCTCTCTTCCTTTGTCATTCTGCATTTAGTTTATAGTACGATAACCTCAGCAAGCTCAAGAATTCTGATGATAACTCTGCCTATTAGATATGGATTTTTTGTTATTTCCACGTTCTATCAATAGTTTCGAGTTCGTGAGTGGAGTTAATGACGTGGTTGACGGTAACCTTCTTTTGCCGTTTTCAGAATGAGTATTCCCAGGCCCTTGAAACTGTGGGAAAGGTTTTGTCAAGCTTTGAACAAGATAAGAAAATTCCAGCCTACGGTTTTGGAGCCCAGGCCTCCTCGACTGGCCCTTTACCTTATATGTTTGCCCTTGAAAGTGAAACTGGACAAGTTGAGCTTGAGGATATGGATGTAAGTTCTCCGTACAGTCTGAGAAGTGTCTGACCATTTTGTTTATATCTTCACTGATATATTTGTAATTTATCGCATATTTGTGGAATCTAAGATCATAGTTTGACTGGAAGTGGTCTCTCGTAAAGGGGCAGCATGGAGAGGTAGAGCGCTGGCCTTGCGATCAGGTGATTGCAGGTTCAGGTCCCCTTCTGACCACTAGCTGGTGTTGTTTTCTGTAGTCCAAGTCCTACTCATCGGCAACGCTTCTATATAAATAGCTAATGAGTTTGCCTCCTGCCAATTGTAATTTTCGACTTTGTTATGTTAAATCAGGAGCCATAATCGGGGACGGAGACCGTAAGCGCGCGCCACTTCAAGTATTGGGGTTGTTCCCATGATATGGGACAATAATTCTATTTTTAGAACAGATTGCGCCATCGCCTGCTGCACACGCGCGTACATGCTGCGAGGATTTTTGCGGATGTCGCGCGGAGTAAATGGCGTCCGAAATTCCCGACATTTTTCA